CCAGCTTAAACCAGCATCCCAGCGTCAAAACATACCTAACCAGCATATGCTGTTTTTTTCAACAGGGCAGTCAAGAGCTTTGCTGTTGACTAATTCAAGTGAATCATTTGAAATTCAATTTATTGACCAAAACAATCACATGATGAAAATTGATTGATGTGAAGATCACCAAAAGCTCAAACTGTTCGCTGAATGCCATATGTCCAAAAAGCACCATGATTAGCCCACACCCTACGATTATGCCTGTTTGGATTGTATCATGTCATAATTAGACGGTGTCTTGATAGCATACAGCATTGATCTGGTCTTACCTGGTGTGACCTCAACCGCAAGTGAAGCGGTGCTTGATTCTTCATTGGTTGTGTCAACCACCCTCATCTGAGTCACATTGGATAATGTGGTCATAAATATTTCAAATCACACACTAAAGATTAGTAAATGTCTAAACAGCACGAAACATTGTATGAAATATTAAGTTCTTACTTCTAAATTTACAGTGCCCGGGGCAACCGCCTTCGCCATGAGTATGAAGCCCTCTGGAGTGATTGAGAAGTCAGTGCCGTCTACAACCTCAAATCTGAGGTTAGGATTATAGCCCTACAAAGAAAGAAATCCAGCACTTAACACCAGAAATATTACAGTAATAGGAATCATTCATAAAGCATGAGCAGCAAACACTTGTGTAAATCTTTAAAAAAAAAAATTGTGTTATTTAAATTGTAACATTGAATTGAATGCAATGATTTAGTTAGTGGTTTTATGATTTATTTAATTCCATGTCACCATTTACATAATAATGGCTTTATGATCAATTCAGTCAAAGAATCTACAACACTTAAACATTTTTATAAACACTGAATTGTTTGAAGAATGGTTTTACGAACATTAAATTTAATGCAACAGTTACTCAAAATAGTTTTTAAGAAGATTCAATCAAATGCTTAATTTGTAAGAAATAATTCAGTTTGTTTATGTAAGAGTTTTAGTAAGTTTTACATTTATATACGTTTTATGAACATTGAATTCAGTGCAACAAATTTACCCTTGAATGTTTTTAGGAATGATTCAATGAAATGTGAGAGTTTCGCAAATAATTAAATTCAGTGCAACAATTTATGTAAGAATTGTTTTACAAAATATTCAATCCAAGAATTTAGGTAAAATTTATTGTACACTGAATTGAACGTGATGATTTCTATAAGAATGGTTTTACAAACAAATCAATTCAATGCAACAGTTTATGCAAGAATGAATTGAAATGTCCATAAAACCAATGCAAAAGTTTATATAAAAATTAATTCCGAATTGATTTACATTAATTTTCACGAATCTTTCTCTATGTGTTTTCTATGTTCTTTACAGATTAGTTACGGATCTTGAACTGAACACATGCACAGACCAGAATGCTGTTTGTCCCGAGTTCTTACATCAGAAAAGTCTTGATCTGTAGCCTGTACTCTGAGGGGTCTGTTGGACGTTTTGCTCTCCAGCACCAAGCTGTCCAAACCCGCATCCTCTGAGATAAAGCCTTCATAACTGGGCTTCACAAATGTCGGAGGGAACGCGCTGGATATCACCACCTTCAGGATGACTGTAGTGGTGGCAAACTGATCGGCGTTCTCTTTCTGGTATGCCTAAGAAGACAGAGGGAAAAATCTGGCTCAGGAAGGAACTACACTCTACAAAATAATGGATCCAGAATATTACATAGAAGAACCATTTTTGGTTCCCCAAAGAACCTTTCAGTGAACATTTCCTAAAAGAACATTTTTTTCTTAGAGTGAAGAACATTTTAATAATCAAAAGAAACTTTTATGGAATGGAAAGGTTCCATGGATGTTAAAAGTTCTTCAAGGAACCAGCAGTGCCAATAAAGAACCTTTATTTTTAAGAGTATACAGAATACTGTGGCTCCAAAATGAAGCTTCTGATTGCACGTAACATTAAAAAACAATGGTTTCCTTTTTATAAATGCAATTTTTTTCTCTCTTACCATGACTGAAAGGACAATCGGTCCTGCCACCCCTGCTGGTTTCAGCATTGTGATGCTCCCGGTGTCAGTGTCGATTTGAAATACATCATCCTTATTTCCTGAACATGTAAAATGTACCAAATAAAACCAGTCGACTCTTTCCAAAGTTCTTCGTTTCAACCCATGAGGACGATAAAATATCTCACCTCCAAGAAATGCATAACCAATGGGCTCGTTCCTGCCTAGGTCACCATCAATGGCCATGACTGGACCTGGCTTCAAGGACAAAGGACCTGGCTGTGGTGTACAACAACATTCAAATGCTCATTTGACATTGTAACTCAAGATCAACAAATTCATCCAATGAGACGTTTCCTGATGTTTCTACATTCATTAGCCAGCTTTATAATGTGTGAAATGTTGGTGTTTGTTGTGGCGGTTTGAAATAATCATAACTATATAACGTTTAAACTGGTTTAACTCAACGTCAGACCTCTATCTACAAGTGCTTTGGATAGAAAACCCACCGCTTGTTCATTTAAGTTGACAGTCCCTTCATAACCAGAGCTCATGCACATTTTGCTTGTGCCAAACTCGGTTTCTGTACAAGGCTGGAACCACGGTGGACGATTGTTAATGTCTATGATGTTGACTACAATGGTGGTTGAGGCATTGTGGGAGACTTCAGCTGTAGATCCAATCGGTGTGTCCTGAAAAGTTATCAAATGACAGTTGTTTATACAAAAAGAAGCATCTTTGGAAATTTAACATGGATCAAGTAAACTCACCTGCACATATAGTGTCATCGTGACTTTTTTAATTTTGTCATAATCCAGAAGTTTTTTCACCAGAATGCTGGGATTGAAACTGGCCTCCAGGTCAAATTCTCCCTGCGAGAGAACAAAGGCCTTGTTTAAGAGAGATTTCATCGTTGTGAATGGGATTCCTTTTGGAATTCCTATAATAATTTGGAATCAACAATCAAGGGGGAATTTTCTTGTAGAATTCCAAAAGGAAGATACTTCAGAACATAGTTCCCAACAGAACAGTTGCGATTGCCATGAAATACAATGTAGACAAACTCTGTGCACATTCTTTGGAATTTTTGTCGTCTCAGAAAGTGTAATGGGGACACAGCTGTACCTCAGGAGAATCCAGTTGGTAGTAAAGTCTATCAGTTTTATCAGGATCGGTTGCTGTGATTAGGCCAACACTGGTATCCACGTTTGATAACTAGAAAAATCAGTAAAAGCTTTAAGATTTTGAAAATTGCCATGATAAAACAAACAAACAAAAAGAAAATAAATAAATTGTACAGCATAGGCAACATTAAAAGTTCATCAGCAAAGTACCTCATCAACATTTAGAGTGTATTGACTCTCTGCAAACGCTGGTGGATTATCATTTCTATCCTCGACGACTATTTTCAAAATCAGTGTGGTCTAAAATTACAAATATGACACGCAGGACATCAATAACCAACATAAAAACATACAGAAAATAATTGAGTTTAAATAAAACATTTACAATGCAATAATTTTTTTTTTAGGTTCATTTAAATAGTTTACTCACAGAGAGAGAGCCAGCTTTTGTACACTCAATATTCACCTCATAAGGGTTGTTCTGGTCAAATGTCTAAGAAAATCACAAAACATAAAAGGTCTGTCATTTTGTACATAAAGCATTTTAAATGGATCTAAATGATTGCTTTGAAATATTAAAATGCTCTCATTTTAACTTCAGCCAAAAATCCTTAAAATTACACGTTTACAGCTTTGGACACGGGTAGGGGTGTAAAAGTAATGAAAAATAATTAAGCTATAAAATAATCAAATGTAAATGTGTATATACAAGTTTAAACTTACTAAATTTTAAGTGGTAATTGAGAAAACAACCAAAACCAGTTTAGATCAAGACTAAGTTATGCTGAGTGAAGAGACGTCTCTTTACAAAAAATGAAGCACTTCATTTAATTGAAAAATATTTTGCTGGCTGATTTAAATAAAGGTATGAAAAATGGATTTGACATATTAAAATAGTATGTACTTTGTATACCCCAGCCATTGAAAATGATAAATTTAGAGTTTATTGGCTGAACACAAAACCAGACTCTTCATAAGATATACAGAATTAACCTCATAGTCCAGCACAGTATCAGCAATGAGATTGTATCCCTCAAGCCTGAAGAGACCCTCTGGATTTTGACTAGTGATTGTGGCCGTCACCTCATCCTCAGCGATGAGTGTTGTAACTGTGGCACCAATTTCGTTGTTTTCCGGAATTAAAATTACCGGTAAATTGGCTGGCGCTGAGCAAAGATCTGTGTCGTTCAGAGAAAATCAGAATTGAAATGTTTTCATGAATGGTCCAGGTTGACACTGACAAACGTGAATGTTAGAAAATATACATTTTGTGATCTTCAAGATAAAAAAAAAAAAAACTGCTAAGGAAACAAAACAAAATTCCCAAGGTAGGATTTCTTCAAACAAGTAAGCTTTTTTTTTTTTTTTTAGCTTAAATTCAAGCATTTCAAAGTCATCTTAAATTAGTAGGAAAATAAAAATATGATTAAGCACAAATTTCTGGAGTGTGTTTTTGTACTTCCAATTGATGTAAAATAAGAGTTTCGTGTAAAGTTGAAATATTGCTTGAAATAAGACATTTGTTTGAGAATTTAAATCTACCAATAGTAAAACATAAGCACATCTTTACTGTAAAAATTGTGGTGGTAAAAAGGTGATTAAACCTAAACATTGATCACTCAGTATGATCTTATATTATGATCAAACTGATTAATTTCCTGAATCAGCCATGTCTTGTTCTTGAAACCATTGCCTTTATGTTTATGTAACCATAACTATAACACTAGCAAATTTACAGAACTTTAAATATTAATACTTTAAAGAATAACAACATTTCCAAAAGAGTCTTAATGTTTTGGAAGTCTGTCATCATATGCTATCATGTTTTTCCACAGTCAGCTGTCAGATCACTGGAGAAATTTCATGTTCTGAGCCATTTCAGCCTACAAAACAAATCCTGATTATGTAAGATTTTTTCATTCACAAACTTTTAGCACTTACTTTGCGCTTCACTGAACTTGCAGAGTGTGAAAAGAACCAGGAGAATGAAAATGGCAGCAGATCCTTTAGGCCTCAAATCCATTTTTCTTGTTAGATGATGGATCAATAAAGGAATATCGAAGACAAATCCCTTTTTTCCCGACTGAATCAAACTCCCATCAAGCAGTTGTGAGCGATAGCTAATGTGCGAAACAGACTTCAAGCTTAACCTTTGAGACGAACGCTTATCTCGGTTTTATTGGCTATAAAGATGAGCACAGGTGGACTTTTGCCTCAGATATGAACACAGCTGCTCTACATGTGCATGTACATCTCATAAACCATGATCACAATGAAGAACGATGTTTACAAACAATATTTTTAGTTGTGTGCAGATGGTTAGCGTAAGAGCTGTTTCCAAAATGTTATACAGTTCAGGCCATCTTGAAATGTGAGACATAACATTGTAAAATACAACTAAAGTTAAAAGTATTAAGAATCGTATTGGACACAGTAGTGTCTTTTGGCGATAAATATAAAGTTATGTTTTAGCTATATTTTAGCAAAGCTGCTATCTTATTCCTTATTCCTGAACGAAAAGTGCCATAAATGGGGAACTTTGTCATCTTCACCTGTTGAAGATGTTTTAGCTATATTTTAGCAAAGCTGCTATCTTATTCCTTATTCCTGAACGAAAAGTGCCATAAATGGGGAACTTTGTCATCTTCACCCTGTTGAAAAAACCAGCATATGCTGGTTAGGTATGTTTTGATGCTGGGATGCTGGTTTAAGATGGTCCTTTGCTGGTTTATGCTGGTCTGAATACTTTCCGTACCCACTGTACCTAACCAGCATATGCTGTTTTTTTCAAATAGACCAATAATGCACACTAAGCAAATTAAAGTGCGTCTATGACTTTATGACTGAAATAAACAAACTAAAAAAGCTAACAGCATCACAAAAGCAGAAATAAATTCTTCGGTTTTGATATATATATATATATATATATTTTTTTTTACACGTGCTAGTAGTCATTAGTGGGCGTAGGTTTCACTTACAGTAACGGGTAATCTTCAAGCAACCAATTAAGTCATCTGACTCATATACTGTACTGTAATACGTAAGTATCTTGTTATATTATTGCGCATAACTGATAAAAAAATGTGCATATGATGAAAGACGCGATAAAGCCATTACTGCTAGACCTATACCTACCATATTTACAGTTCTTTTTTCAAAAACTGCATTAGCATGATGAACGTAGTAGCAAACAACTCGATGTATTTTACACTGAGAAACATTTAAGGATATTGAACCCAGTACATATTGATTTTCCTCATAATTTGCTTACAGTAAAAAATACTGTTTAGGTAATAGTGTATAGGTTTACTGTATGTGGGTCATTCCTGGTATTCGATGCCTTTTGTGTCCCTAGTACAGAATATGATCTTGCTGGTTTATGAACAATTTAAAGATTAGTCATAGTCATAAATAACATCATTTGAACTTTAAGCATATTGAAGTTTATTTAAAAAATGGAAACATTTTCTAGCACTTGAGACCATCTAAATTTTCCTATGTGCCTGCTTGCATTACATTTTTTAATGATTTTTAATTTTTGTTGTATTTTTTAATACAACAATTACTGTAATTATTTTCCCCCACATTTTTGCGTATATTTTTAATAATTTATTACCAGCTTTTAAATAAGCAAAAGGCAACATTATAACAAAATAATTGAGTGGAGTTTAACTGTATTAAAGGAAATATTCTTTTGAACTCAAACTCAGATGAAATATGTTTCCAGTACTCATAACTACTGGTTTCTAAACTTAAATGAATGAAGTCAATCGGTTTCCTAAATTGAAATTAGTTATTATAACTCGTTGGATTTTACAGTGTAAGATAATGCACACAATTCCAATACATTAAAATCATAAGTCTTTTAAACTGTTGTCCATTTTTCCATAACAGAGTGGACATTTTTGGTCTTCCATTTCATAGATTTTGTTTCATAAATGCTTACATTTATTTGCCTAAGCTCGACCAAAACCATTTTTAAATGTTTACATCTTTACTATCATGATTACATTTATGTTAGTTATTTTTAAAAAAGTTTGATTTTCTACATTTTATGTCCAAAAGGCACTAAATACAGGAAAGACCCATGCATGTCACTTTGATTACCATATTCATCATGTAGCATTGATTAATATCTTCTTAATAAATCCGTTCTTGTGCTATTTTTGTACCATGTCTATACAATTTACTTCACTGACCATGCCTGTTTATTGTGACCTCATATAATTTACAACAGTCTGTGACTGGTCGTATATTAACTATGATCTTGTGAGTCAAGCACATTATAGCAGCATGAAAGCTTTAGTAGTACTATAAAGCTCTTATGAAGGCTCATGAAATTATTGTCTTGTGTTAAATTTATAAACAAATATGTGCCTTTGAGGAGCTAAAGGCGTGCTATAATAAACAAGACAAAACGCTATTCTCAAGTCCAGAGTTTATTTTGCATTTGAGATGTTACTGACTGCAACTGAATCTGCAGTTTTATGAGACATATTTGGAGGCCATTATTTATTCAAATATATACAAACAGTTTGTCTCAAACATGTTAAAACTGATTCTTCAAGTTTCTTGGACATGAAGCCACAGTCTTCACTGGTACACGTTTGGACATGAATACAGTCTCATCAGGGAAATCAATCTGTCTGTTTCTCCACCGACACCGCTGCAAACACAGAGCATGAAATATCATTCAAGCTAGAATATATCATTTGAGAGCAAAAAGAAATGTTACATATTGAAGTGTATTGCTAAGTAATTTTGTATAACAAAACAACTGGGTTAGCTTACTGCTTAGAGAAAAGCTATGCACTTTACACATCAACTGATTGCTAAAAGAAAGCGTCACGTTATTTAAAGTTATGTATCATTTTATACACAGACACACACACACACACACACACACACACACACACATATATCAGGGGCATTTCCAAGGGAGGCAGTGTCTCCTCAAAATATTGGATGAGAAAAAAATAAAACAACTGCAATATTACAAAATATTAAAAAGTGTATAAATAAATTGTTTCAGTCCAAATGAACAATATAATGGCGTTAATGAGAAGACAATTTTGAAAAAGTAAGTCAACAAATCACACACTTATATATAACTTAAAATGGCCTGAAAACATGATCAGTGGGAGTTTTTAATGAGTAATCAGCTTAGTGAAATTTAAGGTAAATATCTGTGTCTGTGACCAGTATTCACGAGCTTTGATGACTGATGATCTGAAAAATTCAAAAATGGTTAAACGTTAACTATTAAAAAGAATAGTTGAACATAAGTTCACAATTAAAATATATTGTTTAAAATGTTACTGCCTTGAGTTATTATTTTGGAATAATAAACTTGATGAGATTCATACTTTAAAAACACTAACTTGATGAGATTCTTGGCTTTAATAAATACAATATTGATTACATTGTTAATGTAAAAATATCATTTTTTTTCTTTCTTTTACTGATAATGTAAGTAATGTTTATGAATTTAAATTTGATTTAAAAAAAAAAAATTCAGAACACCACCGCACACCACTAAAACGGAGTTTGTTAAATGCTAAGAGAAAATTGTGAAAAAGCATTTCATGTTGCCACCTGCCAGGAGAAAGCTATGTTACGAAGCATTATGGATAATGCTAAACAATACAAAGTTAGCATATTGTAAAGCTATACAGTTACGTTTAGTGTTAACTGAGTTTATTTACTACCAAAAGAAAGCTATACTGTACATAAAGCTATATTTAACAATAACCAAGTTTGCTAACTGCTAAGGGAATACTATGTTCGAAACTTTAGTTTCATGTTTCTCAAATAGCACACGTATATGTCTGCAAGATGTCTGTTAAAGATCGCTTCATCTGGAAAGCATCTGCTGTGTACAAACATCTGATAGACGTCTTTAAGATGTCAGTTTTACATGCATTCTAAATCATAAACATCTTCAAGACATCTTCTAAACATCTATTTGACATCTGATAGGAAACGTCCTGTAGACGTATTGCAGATGAGCAAACACTCTAAAAAATACGTCTTGCAGATGTAAATGCAGACGTCAAATAGACATCTCCGTGATGTAGGCCTACGTGTGCTATCAGGGAACTTAGCTGCAAATATCAAGCGCACAAATGTAAATCAAACGATCTCTTGATTTGGATGAGCATATCGGAGGCTTTATACCTTTTCTTGCTGCTTTGCATGCGTTTCAGGAGGGCGCAGATGGATGTGATTTTAGCTTTGCCGTGATGTACGTGTGCTATCAGGGAACTTAGCTGCAAATATCAAGCGCACAAATGTAAATCAAATGATCTCTTGATTTGGATGAGCATATCGGAGGCTTTATACCTTTTCTTGCTGCTTTGCATGCGTTTCAGGAGGGCGCAGATGGATGTGATTTTAGCTTTGGATTTCAGGAGTTCAGCATATCTGTTTGTGAACTCGATGTCGCCCAACTGCCTCGTCTGAAGCCCAGATCTCCTGGAGTTACGGGTCGGATTCGATGTCAAAGTGTGGATTCAAATGACTCAAGTATAACAAGTGCATCAAAGTATGTTGGATTCTTCCAGAAAAAGGCTCAAAAGATCTAATTTTAAATGTTTATCAATTTATACAAGTAGATACTACAAGAAACTTGCTGAGAAGAACCAGTGTTTTCCACAAGGGGATGGCCTGCACTTAAACATACTTGGATCTGACAGGATCACAAAAGTGACTTATTTATTAACAATAAAAGTTTATGAGACCTACCCGTCTCGGTCATCAAAAAGCATATCTGCATCATCCCTAGGAAACAACATCTTTCTGGGAGAAAATGTGTCCGCTGTTGAGATGCTGTCCTCTTCTCCAAGATACCTGCGATGATAAAGGCCAAAACAAAAATGAGTCAATACATCAACTGCGAAACTGTGGAAAAAAATGTATTTGGTGTGTGTGCTTCAGAAAAAAAAACAACATAAGCTAAGAAAATTGGAAGTCTTATCACCTCCAGACAGAATTGGAGAAAGAAGAAACAAAAATGTAAAGAAGAAAACCAAGCAAGGACAAAGAGATAACAGATCTAATAGGATTTGATAGACCTAAAACTACTCGACTACATTTCAGAAACAGCACAGAAGATCAGATTGAGGTTGAAAATTCAATTATTTTCTGAGGTTGAACGTGACCCGACCTGTCCAGAACCGGAAGGCTGGTCGCGCACTGGATGAGAAATATCGCAAGGATGGACACTTGCGTCAGACTTGTGAGAACAGACATTTCCACACCTTAAAAAGATGAAAATGAGAACTTTTAGTGGTGAAAGACAAACCATTTTCCCTGGCAATCAAATGTGTGACAGAAGCTCACCCTCAGTTTGATGTTCTCGTAGCACTTTAGCTGTTGTCCAGTGGTTCTTGTCTGGTTTTTATTTCCAGCCTATTTGT